AGTGGAATGATTCTGTGCTGATTTACTAAAGGTTTTATTTGAAAGACTGAAGTTTCAAAGCAAATGGTATTGAGCTAAAGGGCTAACATATTCTTGAAGACTTCCTTTCCAGCTACATATTGAATATTTCCACATTTTATAAATAAAGGAAGATTCATAAATTTGTAAAAATAATAAGGTAAAAAATTCCTGTGGAAGAAAGCTAGTATTTCCTTAAAACATCAAAAATATTCCACCTGAATTGTTTTTCGCTTATATATCTTTAGTTTTCACTTAACTAATTTTATAAAAAAGAAAAAAAAATCTCAAATATAATGATTTCCCAAAGGAAAGAACACTCAAAATGAATGATATCCCCACCATTAAATTAGGGACCAAATACATTGCAACTTTTTGTCACTATTAACTATGTATAAGACTAAGTCTTTAACTATGTATAAGATTATGTCATTACACAATTATGATACTAAAATAAAAAACAAAAGGGGCATGATTCATTAACTCCAAGCTTATTTTAATGCAGACTTAATTTCCATTTGGAGCAAAGGAATTATATATATATTTATGGAATAGAGATTTAAATAAACAATAATTTTATGAGAGACTGAATAAAATATATTTATTATCTATGAAAATATTGGACTATACTCCTGAGAAATATAAATAATTTATATAAAGCTAAGCATGCATAACTATAAATGCAACATTGGTATATTTGTAGCCTATAATGCATGTTAACTATAAAGAGATACTTCTTACAGCAAATAAACACGCAATATCTGGCACATATATATCACTTATATTATGGATATCCTATCAGCAAATGTGCTATTAAATAATTTGTTGATTCAACTGTAATTTATCATTTCTTTTCTGGATCCAATTGTATTTATAATTTTAGAACTACAACTCCCAGCCTTGTGTAGTATAGTTAGATTTGTCAATGCACTGGCTCATGTAGTCTGCATAAAATACATGGTATAAAGCCTTTGCAGAGATCTAATGCTTGAGATTTTTATGAGTGCATTGATTTTTCATGTCACTTTTATGGATTTGAATATAGTGAGCAGGGAAGGTAAAAGTTTGCTTGCTTGTATTTCCTATTATTTTTAAAGCTGATTTTATAAAATCAGTTATATAGTTAAGGTAGATAACATCCTGATAGTTAATGGTTCACAGTTCAAGTCAGCAAATACTTAAACACCTATTTAATTCTTTATACTTCTTTTCATACTTTTTAAATGCAACATAGATTTAGTGCACAGAAGTGGTCTTTGCCTGAAGCAAAAACAAACTGTACATTCTTTCTTCCCTTTGCTTATATTTTTGTATTATAATCCAAGAATTACCTTTACCTTGTTCTATAATCCAACAATACTCTTTAAGTTGGCTTCCTAGTAGATACTTTTAATGAATTTTAAGGAATGTTGAAGTATTAATTAATTTACTCCTTACCTATGAGAAAATTATCAGACATTTAATAGATGACTTAATAACAGTTTATTAAAATAAATTCACTTTATATCACATTTTAGTGTTACTGCATAAATAATGTTTATGTCACTAAATTCAGTAAGTCTCCATGGGTAAATTACAAGAAAGTCACTGTCTTTAGTAACCCAATGAGTAAAGATAAAAGCAAGTAATTTCAATGTAATGTCGAGTGTGATGAGCTCATATCAAGAAACCAAGTAAAATGGTAAGGTCCTGACACTGAGAGAGTTCTGCAGAGTTCATTCTCTGTATTACACCACTACATCGCCTTCACCTGCTATGAATCCCACCCAAAGTAAAGGGACATTCTTTGACCCTTTCATTTGGCACAGATACTCACTTTGAAAAGGTTCAGACCTTTGTAAATCTCAACTAAGTCAAGCAACATACAACAGTGCAATGATTTTCCATACATCTCTTTATATTTTTATGACTTATCCAGGCAGAGCTTTGGAGATAAACTCTAGAAATACACAATTATCAACCACAAAGTGTAGTACTAATGCATCATTCTAGGTGGGTGAGCATTTATTAACATCATAGTATAGATGACATGACCCTAGGAGCCTTAGTTACTCAACAGGTGTGCCTATCACACGGTCAAGCCAACTTCCTCTTTGATATAAGTTCACTCAAAATGTTGGGAACCTGGATCTTTATATCAGTGTTTCTTATTTTGTATAGTCAGGTGATCTGTAATTTGCCTGTGTAACAGTTGTCATTTAAAAAGCATAGCTCTATAAACTGAGATTATTACTTTGGCTTTTTCCATTCATTTTTTATTTGAATCTTTTATGGATTAAAATAGTTACTGCCTTAAATCTGAATTTGAAAAAAAATAACGTTCTGAAATTGTGTTATTCCTGTGCTAATATTTTATTAGGACTGTTTTAGCCACATTGCAGATGGGTTATTCTGCAGTTTATATGGTAAATATGTTTGTTTTGGAAATTTTAATGTAGAATAAAGAACTTCTAAAATTTAGAGACATAATCTCCTGCTAAAAAGTACTACATTGTGCCCTGGTGCTTGGTGTTCAGCCAATCACCTGAGTTAATAAAAAGTGGGTACATATTCTACCATACTTTTCATTTACTTGTAAGTAAAAGATAAATTGAAAAACTAAACAGAGGTGAAACTCAAAGTAAAAAATATATGTTATATAGGTTGTCATGGCAAAATTTCTACACAGTGAATTTTTTCAGTGGATCAATTTTTATGGGTCTGGCAATTTTGCTGACAACCAATTAGCAAAATTACTTCAATTCCTTCTTTATTTGCCATCCATATTAATAATCTCAAATAACAATTTTGAATAGCAATCTGTGTGGTTTTAACTTTGCTATGGATAAACTATCCCAAAATGGTAAAGGGCTCTAAAGACCTTACTTAAATCTTTACCCTGTCCTAGAAAAGAAGTCTTGTTAAGTTTATTCATGAGTGCTGTTTGGATGGGGGCATGGAACGTAGGGAACCATACATCCTGAGTCTAAATGCTGGACCGTATTAGTTTACATGACATACATTTACTATGCGCCTATTGTATTCCAAATTAGTTTTAGTGATGACAAAATGAGTGAGGAAAATCTGCCTTTGTTTAATGTATAAACTGATGTGCTTTCAAAATGGACAGAAGAGGGTAACAGTTAGGTGCTAAAGGACACTCAGAGTAATTCTCTGTGACTTAGTAAATATCATTCTTATTGTGTTGAGCTGTTTGGGTGAGAAAAATACAAGGAGAAATATAGTAGAAGATGAGATACATTTACATAGGAAAAATTTAATTTTTCTCAGTAGGAAAGAGAAGCACAGGGTACATAGTGTACATTGCACAGCTTCATTCATGATCTAGAATAAGACAGCAAACAGCCTGTTAATTTAACTCTAAGTGACTCTAATTTAAGAGGAGATGTGAATATTATCACCAAAGACAGAGAATTGATGTTGCAAAAAAAGTGTAAACGAAAAATCAAATGAAAGCTGGCAAGAAGCAGCCCGCATCCATTAAGTGAACTTGTGCTTCCCAAAGATGAGCTTTGAATTCTCAAGCACACATAGAAGTTATTCCCAAAAGCATCTCTATAGTAGAAAAATACACACTTGGATGTGAAGATGCTAAATGATACCTATGTCTGGCTACATTTATGAGAACAAATATGGAAAGAAAAATGTAACATGACTTCTAGTGGCAATATCTTGTCACCCAATTTAAGTCAGAGTCTCACTCCAAATGGATTATACAATTCACCTAAAATAATTGTAAAATTAGATCTTCATACCTTAAATGAAGTATTCAAAAGGATTCAGCTTTTCTCTTCCTGTGAGAGAGATGAGTTTGCTTCTACACCCCTATATGGACAGCACAGCATATGGGATTTTCATCAACTTCTTTTCTGTCTACGGGTGTTGAATCTCTCTGCCCACCTGTTTTGACCTCAGAGAAAAACCTGGCTTTGACTCTACTTAGAAAATGCAGGACAACATGGTTTAAATTGCTCTACTGTGGTACTGCCAGCTCTTTCTGTCTCTCATGCCCCAGAGTATGGAACAGCTGTCTCAACAGCTGTGAGCAGGTTCTGAGACTTCCTTCCTGTGAGAGACGAAAGTCTTGCCAAAGGAATACAGAGAGAAGGTGGGGTGGATTTATGTGCTGGAAAATTGAAGGAAAAAACTGCATTCACCATGAAACATTTCCTTCTTCATTGATCTAGTTCTTTATTTCTCTTTCCACTTTCAGAAAGAACATTTGATTTCTAAAATAATAGTCATTTAAACCAACATTCATCCTTTACATTCTTTGAAACACTAACTATAAAATGTGTTTCTTCATTCCCATTCATTCACTATAATCAGAAGTGCTGCTAGTTAAATATCTTGCCGTCAGACATCCTGCTGCCCTCCATACCTGGAATGAAACTTATCCCAGATGGTGTTTGCTTTAACTCCGTTAGTGTCACATCTATCCATTTACTCTTGCTCATTCCTATGAATGGCCATTCTTAACTCTTCAGGGTACAAAGTGAACTCTCAAATTTTCTCTAATTCCTACAAATGTGGAGCAAAATTTGAACCTACCATTATACACAATGAGAGGAAACATTAATGAAAGAAAAACATAGTTGAGTATGGATGAAGAGAGCCACAATAGCAATCGGGTAATTCCGGAAAATATTTAAACAGATGGAATTCTTTGTGAATGACCTTTCCCTAAACAAGATGATAATCCACTTGGAAATCAACACTCATTTACTTTATTGGCCTGTATTATTTATACTCAGATTGTTCATTACTGAACTGAATCTAATATAATGACATTTATCCATTAGATGGTAATTAGATCGCAAAAGAAGTAGCGAAAATACTTAGGACTCCAAGAAATATCATGGTAATAATTCATTGTACATATAATTATTTTTCTTCATTGGTCTTGATGAGTCCAACCATGTGGAGAATGAAGTTTATGCAGTTATGGTTAAGGCGCTAACATTATTCTTCTGCTCTGTCAGATGTGTTGTAGAAGACAAGAACTCGAAGGTGGCCTGGTTGAACCGTTCTGGCATCATTTTCGCTGGACATGACAAGTGGTCTCTGGATCCCCGGGTTGAGCTGGAGAAACGTCACTCTCTGGAATACAGCCTCCGAATCCAGAAGGTTGATGTCTATGATGAGGGTTCCTACACATGCTCCGTTCAGACACAGCATGAGCCCAAGACCTCTCAAGTTTACTTGATTGTGCAAGGTAAGAAAAGGTGTGATAAGTGGATAGTAAGGTGAGAGATGGAGGTCAAGAGCAATCACAATATAGGAAATATTTGCAAAATCCTTCCTGGAAAAGAGAGGCTTCAGATATATAACTGCACTTAAATGTCTGTTTTCCTTTGAGAATAGAGACTTAAAATAAAAAGACCAGGTTGGGAAGATAGCTCAGTAGTCTAAGCGCCTACCTGGCAAGAGCAAGGACCTGAGTTCCATCCCTGGTACAGCATACCATGGTGACCCAAGAACCCTGGTTGTCCCATCCTGTCCCTGAAATTGGGCATGGTGGCACACACCTATAATCCCAACACTGGAGGGGCTGAGACAGGAGGATCACTATGAGTTTGAAATGCAAAGTGAGACCCTATATGAAATAAATAAAATAAAAATAAGAAGACTGAGGAGAGAGAATACCCTTCCCATTATAAGCCAGTGCTTTAATGAGAATGTTGTTTTCTAAGTCTTGAGTTAGAAAAACAGGGAAAGAAGAAGACACAAAACTTAGAACCATAGGAATCTCATGCTACTGAGCTACTAGGACAATTTGCTAGATTTCAAAAACCTTGGATGTATCTGCTCTTATCCTAAAGACTATCAATATTTATGTTTTTTTTTTGGGACAACCTGCTTGGGCCCCACTCCTGCCCCTCTCTCAGATAGGAGCTTATTTTCCTTCAATAAATTATTCTGTTCATAAAAAAAAATTGTCTGTTTTTATTACAGCAAAAGTCTTTTTGGAAAATAAAAATTCCAGAGACCAGGATATCTGCTTAGCTGTCCAGATTTCTATGTAGGTTGTATCTTTGGTTAATAAACAAACAATATAACTTGTGAGCAGATCCAATGACAAAGATCTGTATAGTCATTAGGGACAACTCTTTCTAGGTGAAGGCTTCCAAAGGCACATCTGAGTCATGGTTTTACAGAGTAGAAACCCTAAAACTCATACACATGCCCCCAAACTATAGCTCTCTTGGGTCTCTTTTCCCCTAATTGCAGAATGAAAACAAAGCTGATCAGCTGCACAGTTTTATTGCAAGCAAAGGCGAACCAACAGCAGTTTCAGTCCATCTATCAGGAAAGATCTAAGTGTTAACGAATATTAGGGCTGTGTTTGTGTAGTCTTGATTTATAATTTTATGTAAATTTAATGCAAATTAGGCATGGCCCTAGGGCTCCTGTCAGGATTCTAGTGCAGTCAGTGGTGTGGTGAAGTTTGACTGTAGCTTCTATTAATGTGTTATGGAATTGATTATTGCCACATTTAAATTATTGCTCTCCCAGATGCTCTGATTAACAGATTGAAACTGGAATAAAATACATCAGACTGTCTGGTGTCAGGGTGGTTTAGTCATGTGACCTCTATCTTGTACATTTGCAATGGCTGACAGCTTCATTTTATTTCTTATAAAAGGCACGTCTACTGATTTGTAGAGTTCCACTCACAGCCAAAGCATAAGGTGCTTTCCTTGCAGTTTAGTGGAGAATGCTTGAATCTCTAAGGAGAGATGTTAGTCTTTAGATCTCAGCTAACTCAAATATATAAATATAAACAGAAATATGGAAGTATATCAAGGAATTAATTTAGTAGCTCATTAAAACCAAGTATGTACACATATACATGCAAACACACACACACACACACACACACACACACACACACTTTTTTCATCCTACCCAGCACTGGGATTACAGGCTCGCACCACCACACCAGGCCTTGGTGGCAGGCTTATCATAGGGCAGGGCCAGCATGGCCTGTAGGTGCCTGGGACCCTGCACTTACCTAAGCAGGGGCTTAGTCCACTAGCTATTGCACCAGCCCTCAAAATTTTATGTTTAAGTCTGAGCTCTTACCACCAAAGTCTGTTTTATTTTGTTGTTTGTTATTTGTTTTCTTATTCATTTGTATACTTTGAAGCTACAAACCTGACCATCCCGGAAGGGTAGAATCAGAGCTCAGATCATGATAGTGTAACTGAAATTTAATTTCATATCATGGGGTGGAAAAGAGTTAGCACAGCTATGAACTTCTATTAATGTATAGTTTTGTTTAATTCTAGTATGTACTACAATATTGATGTGAATAATTTAATCACACATGTGAAATAGCTTACAGTTCAGCAAAATAAGGAATTTGTCTCGGGCTCCCCTCTAAGCTTAGAACAGGACTTCAAATCCCTCTCTGCCTGATTAAAAGTATTACTAGTTTCTTCTTAACCTTATTGTCTTCAAAGAGACAAAGAGCCACAAAGCCTGTTTGTGGGGGATGAAGGCAGGACTGTCTCTTTCTTGGGTCTGAGTCATCCAGGGAACTTTTCAACAATTATATGCATCTGGACAGTTTCATACAGGAGAGAAGTAACTCCCAACCTGAAGAATGTCAGATTCACTCAGCTCATGTTTCTCAGAATTAAATAATGAATTCCAAAGGACAAAAGAGGCTAAGAGTAGGGAAAGTTCATTGAGAAACAGGAATAGCTCCTGAGAGATAGGAGCGGCCTTGATTGGGTTTCCAACGAGGTCATTTTCTCCAGAATGTTTTATAGGACAAAATTATAAGGTGGGTACAAAGTAGATCAAACTGTAATCAACCAGGAAGATTACAAGTACTGTGGCTTAGCTAATATGTATGCAGTAGAGAAGTGGTACAGGCAGCAAAAGTATATAGATGACATCTTTAACCTTGGATTATGAAGTCTAAAATAGGAATGTTTTAGTGAAGGGACAGACCAAGTGTTCAAGTCACCTACTGTCTTAGTTACTCTTCTATTGTTGCTGGGAAAAATGTCCAACATCCAAAATGAAGGAAGGAAAAGATTCATTTAGCTCACAGTTACTGGAGGTGTCAATCCATACTCAGCTGGCTCCAAACAGACTGGCACATGGCGGACAGAAGCCTTTCATGGCAGCAGCAAAGAGCAAGAGCAAAAAGGAGAAGTAGAAGCAACAATGGCTCCACCGAGCAAGTCTGTCTTCCTTAAATTGCATCCAGGTTATCCACCCAGGCTGAGTGTGGTACTCACACTCATAACCCCCACAGCTCTCACACCCATAATTCCAGTATTGGACCATGAATTACTTATTTATGTATTTATTTATTTTGTGCAATTCTGTCTTGCTACACAGATTATACTCATAATGATTCTCCTGTCTCAGCCTCCCTATTGCTTGGATTACAAGTGTGTACCTCCATGCTGGTTTCAGTGGCCAGCTTCACATTAGGCCCATGTGGCATGTGGTACCAGGGTTCAAACTCAGATCCTTGAGCTTACCAGAAAGGCACTTAGACCACTGAGCTATCATCCCAAGCCAGTATTATTGCACACATGTAATCTCATTGCTTGAGCCTAAAAATTCAAGGCCAGCCAAAGCAACATAACAAGAGCCTGTCTCTCTGTCTCTGTCTCTGTCTCTGACTCTCTCTCTCTCTCTCTCTCTCTCTCTCTCTCTCTCTCTCTCTGTGTGTGTGTGTCTTGGATCATGAATTAATCACAAAGTCTATTAGTCTGCCCCATGACTGCATGAGGTTTTGGGGGAGCAACCAGACACAAACCATAACACCTACCCAGGTAAAGTGGTAACAGTTACAGAATAATCTATAATATCAAATTCCCATTCATCCCTTGAAGAAGTATGCATATCTGGCCATTGTGATTTTAATCTCAAGACCTTGCCTTCTTCAAATGTTCTACTAGCACCAGTTGTGAAGTACTCACCTTTCACTGGCTTCCTCCAGAGCCCAGTCCCTCTCTGACTGTATATTAGTGATTATCTAACTTAACTCTCTTTCACCAGATGGCTGAACCATCTCCCTTTATGACACGCAGAATTCTGGCTATCAGGGGCCCACCCATTCATACTCCTCTCCCTGCATTTCATGCAGTGCTTCTCATTTACATGGCTTTCACCACATCAAGGTTCTGCTTCTAGGCATGGTTTGGCTTTCCTCTTTTCCCTGTTTCATAGCACCTACCTTAATATAAGGGCCTTTTGGACATTTTGTGTACTGCTCCATGATTTTTGAAAATACATTTTGAGTATCTGTATATCTGTCTATCTCTCCTTCTTTCCTTCTCTGAAAAGACAGAAACTTTCTACGTAGTGTAGACTGGATTTGAACTCTCCTTGTAGCCCAGACCTCTAAGTAACAGTGATTGTCCTGCCTTAGACTCTTGAGTGCTGGAATTACAGATATGCCAGCATATCCAGATTTCTTGACAAATTATTTAGCAAACATTCTACTCTTTTGCATTAGAGAATAGTAAGACCCCTCACAGCTCAAAAGCACTATGAGAGGGCCAGCCAAATAGTTCAGTGGATTGCAGTGCCTGAAAGCAGGCTCAGGGGATGGGGGTTCGATCTCTTGGCCTGCCATGCCAGCCCCACCCCTGGGGCACACTGAGACAGCGATTGAGACTGAGGGTGGTGGAATGTGTCTGTAATCCCAGCTCTTGGGAGGCTGTAAACAGGAGAATCGCTACAAGTTCGATCTAATGGTGAGACTCTGAACACTCTGTAGACCCCTAAAAATACAAAAAAAAAAAAAAAAAGTACTATGAGAATCACAAAAAATAGTGCTTAAATACTGACCTTTGCAGTCATGCTGCCTGATTCCATTCTCACTTTTCCCTGACCCTATCTAAAAATACTTGGGGGTAAACCACTTTTTTCAATGCTCAGCTTAGTTGTATGTGAGATATAGGTAGAAATTTAAAAATTGAAATAATGCTAAATTTATTATAAGGATTAAATTCAATGGTCTCCTTTCCTGATGGCTGGAGATCACATGCTCTCACCTAATAGATGATGATGGTGAAGAAGATGATGGCTGTGCCGACTGGCGCCACAGCGCAGGGGCTGCCGCAGTATTTCTGGAGGGCTGGTGTGCAGCCTACAAAAGTCCCATTGCTGCTTTTGCCTATAATCTTTTATTCCCAGTTAGCTGATTTGAATTTGACTCTGGGTGTCTCCAACTGATTTTTG